CTCTTGAGAAGTTCATTCATTCAGAAGACAAAAATGAGTACAGATTTTATTCAGACCAGGAGCAGTTACAGAATGAGGGATCCCTTGCGTGCTTACGGCTCCTTGGTGGCTCAGGGAGGACCTTTGACAGTCGCAGGACACTGCCAAACACAACTCTGTTCATCCGTGGATGGGAAATTGAACTTTGAATAACAGAGCTGTATTTCCAGGATTTACATCCGATAAATAAGGACAAGTCTTCTCTACTGGCGAGCAAACTGCAATGCCATATTTTCTTTTAATATGCCTGAGAATTATTTATTAGAATGATAGAGGAGTCAATGATGACTAAGAATTTTGATTATGTGAATTACAGTTAATGTTTTAAGGAGTTTACAGAGAGTTACATCCAATGTCCTTAGAAGTCTTGCTGACGTGTAAATGACGTCATCACAAAGCGACTTTGTACGTGTACACACAGGCAGTGGGCATTTCTGTTCAGCAGAGAGAAAACTTCACAAACTGCATCCAAAAACACACTTTGAGAATACTGTGGGTTTCTTTCCTTGCAGTACAAATTGTCTTTAGTAAGGATGTGTTTATTTTTTATTATCAATCTTTTTGTGAACTCTTTATGTAAACTCCACATTGATGTAAATTTGTGTTAGAAATTTGGATCTTCAGATTTCGCATTTGTCCCTGTAAGGACACATGGGCCACAGGCTACTTAAGAAGAAAAGAAGTTTATTTAACTCACAGATCTGGAATTTCCCCCCTGCAAAGGGCATGGCCTGGGCTCTGTGCTGAGGCTGCCTCTTGGAGCTATCTCAGCTCCTGGCAGCAAAGGGCAATGGGCCTACGGCAGAAAGCACGTGGGAGCTTTGGGTTACGCTTGAACCGGAAAGTCAGAGGGAGCCGGCTTGTGCAAGGCTTGATTCCTTCCTAGCAACCGCGTTGATAGAATCGCCAAGAGGTCATAGGAGAACCACCAACTGTCCATTTAATTTGTCTGTAGTATATGATTTTTAGGTAGGTGCTTGTGCCACGGAGCTATATCCTCGGCCCTTAGTGTCTGACTTTTAGAAGATCTCCTGTCACCTTAGTATTCAAAAGACGTTCACTTATTTAATTATGACATACATTTCTAATTTCATTTGCAATTTTCTCCTTCTTTTCCTCCATCCAAGCTCCATCTCTAACAGGCTCTTTTTTGCAGTGGGAAAAGCAGTGGCAGCTGGTTTCCTCTTGTCTTATCTTGCCGCCTGCCTTCTACTTCCCAGCACTGGCTTCAGCCCCTCCAAATTTGGACTCATGGAGAGAAAAGACAGTATTTGACCTGATGGTGGTTTTTCTGGGGTGTCATATTTTAAAAGCAAACTTTCTCACTGGTGATTGGAGATGTCTCCATTATTGAAGACCTTTTCTGCACACAAGGAAAAGCTTCTTCTACAGCTAGGCCCCTGGTTTCCCACGGCTCAGTGGGGGACCCGTTTTCAGTGGTCTCCTCGACACTAGGGACTTGAGGCTGTCTGTGTTATTGCGGTTCCCTTCCTCCACACAGGCTCTGTTCTGCTGGTGTCCCTGAGCAGCTTCTTATACTTCAGATTTCTCGTTTAGTAAACCACCTCTGTGCTTGGTTTCCCGAATTCCAGAAGATACATATCACATGCTTTGATATCCAGGGAGAGTCCCCCCAGGACACCCTCTGGCCTTCTGCTCGCAATGGAAATCCTGACCTAACCCCTCCCAAAGGTCTCCTCCCTGTCCCAACTGAACCCTCAGTCCTTGTTTCCATAGTGCGCAGGTACGTGTTGGGCAGAATTCACCACACTGATGCCCCTTTGGTGCTGTGTTGTCATGTATTTTTTGTTACTGTTCTGAGTCTCAATTGAAAAAGAGACAAAAAAGGCCCACTTTGCCTTTACAGGGCAAAATTAAGAGTCTAAAATTTATGAGACATATGATAGATAGATTTTATTAAGATGTAGTCTAACATGTATAGGATTAGTGGTATTTATTATTATACTGCAATATGATATTAAAATATACTCACAAAATGATATCATAATATATTTTTGGTATTGTAAAAATAAATACAGAATATTTACGCATTTCCATGTAGCTATATTGTGTTGCAGCAGTGTTACTTCCAACTCTTTCCACAACGGTGACTGAATGAACGACTAGCAGGCACCTAGCAGATGACAGGCACTTCGGCAGATGTTGGTACCTCAGAGGTGTGGTTGCCCAGACAGTGCCCCTCCTGGATGGTGCCCAAAATGATGACAGGTGTGAGATCATCACAAACTACTGTCAGAAGGTTTTTCAGTTGTCTGTGCACTGCTTTAATCATAAAAATAATTTTATACAAAGCAGAACACCCTTATATCTCTAATGCATCTGTTTCATTTTCAGTGATGCAATGTGTGAATTTTTAACTAATTGAATTTCTCATCACTTTTCTAGGTTACAGGCTCAATACCAATTTGTGTCAGTATTTAGAGTCGTATAGCATTCTTTGGCCTGTGTTTCTATACTTGTATTTCTGGTAATATTGTTTTCATTTAATTAGATTTCCATGTCTCTGATTTTATTACCTGTTTCAACACATCCTTCTTCAAGTATTTTATAGATAGCAGCAGGATACATCTGAACAAAACAGCTTAAGGGAGACATGCAATAGTGTAAAACTAGTAACTCAGGAAGCACTCATCGGATGTCGATTGCCTGCAAAAGTCACACATCTCATGATCTGTCATTTAGAGTGAGACCAGAGTTTCTTTGAATCCTTGCTCTGTTTAACTTACATGTTCAATCTTGCAAGCTATTCTTCACCTTCAGTGGTAAACGGTACTGTCTTCCACCATGGTGAGATTCAAGAAATATTTTCATTTATCTTCTTTTACAGAAAGGGTGTCCTGCACACACCTGAATTATTCTCCTTAGATTTAAGTATTATGAACAGATTGGATGTTATTACACAATCCATGATTGTTCTTCTAGTTTTAAGATACTTTAGTTCCATATTTTAAAGATTAAACCAGACATTCTTTAATCTGATATTGTCTCTTAAGGCATGAAAAATGTTTTTTAAAATTTTTTAAGCAACTGAAGCCTTTGAGAGAGAATGAAGCTTTGGAATAAGACAGAAAAATAAATTTCAAGTTGAAATTTGGAAGATACAGTAGCCAAGGTTTTATGCTGCTAAGTGTCTGGAATTTACTTTCTAATTTGACCTGTGAAGCTTATCTACTATGCATAACATTTGAAAACAGTAGTTTTAAGAATAACCAATTAGAGATAAAGGAAGAAGAAACAGCAGAGAAGAGAAAGAGGAACCAAAGATGGCCAGAGAGCAGAGACACTACATCCAGAGGTGAAGCTCATGAAGGCCCCCAGTGGTAAAGGACAAATGTTCCTTTGGAAGAGAGACCATAAATTGGAATTTCAAGTAGTTTGTACTGCTGCAGTCTAACTCACTCTCCCCCTTTAAGTCCTAAGCTAACATCTCCAGTGCGTATTTCTGGGTGTGAAAATCGAGGAAATGATCTGATGTCTATATTGAAGATTCCTGGATATAAAAAAGGAACACCTCTTCATGAAGTCTATGTAATCACTTCATGATATACCTGAAACAGGAGCCTTGGTGTCAGATGTCATCATCAAACAATGACTCTCTAGAGGGCGGTGTTTCCTGAAAACTGTACATGGTGACCCAACCCTTTGTTTCGATGATATCTGCATCTTTAAGATGTACAACCCCGCTCACCTTTGGTTTGTACTGGAAAGTCATTTAAGTTACCCAAAGGTAAACCTATGCTAGCAAACTTTAGTTATGCAGAAACACATAGGAAATACTTAAGCTCCTAATCTTTGGTGATCCTAAAGTTCTTGCTCTTCTAGAAAGTAGGGAACAAATTGAGTCAATGTTAGTGACACGTGAGAAGTAGTAAAAGAATAATGCAGCGGTAAATTGCTACTGTGTTTTGGTGCCCTCCAGAAACCAACACAGAAACCCAGCCCCCAGTGCAATGGTGCCGGGCGGTGCAGTCTCGGAAGTGAGGAGTGATGCGGGCTCCTCTGCTGGGGGTGAGGTCAGACACCTTTCTGAAAGGGTCCCACGGGGGAGTCTGCCCCCTTTGCCTATCCACCTTCGGCCGTGCAGAGACACAGCTTTCTTACCCTCAGGAGGACACAGCATGCTCAGGGCCCTTTTGGAAGCAGAGACCAGAATCTCACCACTTCATGGCCTCGCCGGTGACTCAGCCCGTGACTCCCCAGTCTCCACAGCTGTGGGAAGTAAATTTCTGTTCTCTCTCAGTTCTGCAGCCCGATGCATTCTGCTATAGTAGAACAGAGGATGAAGGCAACTTCATGCTACCACAAGTGCAAGAGAAGCTGGAAGTGCCTCTGTTCGTAACTCCTTTCCAAGTTGGACATCATCTTCTATTCTTTATTCTCTAATATTTGCCCTAAGCTTTTTACTTCGTAGTCAGAGCAGGGCACTTTACATGGGAATATGTGTGTGCCATCTTCTACTTTTCATAAAGTCATTTAACAGATGTTAAGTTGGAATTATTAAGGTTGCAGGAGCAGTGGAAAAGAAGGGCATAATGAAAATGTAAACCCAAGTTGGACAGTGGACTGTGTTTGAAAATCTGGACCAATTAGAATTTCAAGTGGTCGCTGTTTTTAAAAGAACTGAAGAAAATCAGTTTATGACTCCAGTGTCCCATGAGTTTTATAACTGACAGCCTAGGCTCATGGCAACACTTAGGAAATGAAGGAAAATTGAAGTTGGGGGTGACAAGACAAGCAACGTTTTTTGAAATAACCTTAACACAAGGCAACTAGTAGTATTTGAAGCTCTGGCCAGGAAAAACATAACTGGGTCAATTTAGGTCAGCCAGATCTATGGTTTTAGAATTAAAGCGTGGCAGAGTCAGTTCTGGACCATTCTTTGTGGGTTTCAGAAAAGTTTTCATCAAATTCATGGCAACGAATTTGGCTCTATGAATAGCTTTCTTACATCTTGTAAAAATATATATATTTGTGGATTTTCAAATTTCTTTGATACTCAGGAAACTGAAATTGAACAAGTGTGACAGCAGTGGGGAAATTTGTCCGGGCTGATATCGTAGAAGGCACACGTACTCTGGAGATGATCAGAACATTCCACTGGGCTTAGACACAGGAGCAAAACTGCTTCCATCTGTCATTAGCAGTAGAGAGGCCACATCTTCTTCCATTTCTGTCTTCTCCATTCCACACCACGTGTCTGAGTAGCATCACTTTCTCCCATGCCTGCTTCTTTCATTTCTTTTTCCTCAGTTCTGTATGAGGAGTGACAAACAAAGTCTAAAGTGAATGCTTGTTGATCTTCAAAGAGCTAAACAAAGGATAGTACTAACTCTTCACTCTTGTCTTTCTCTTTCTTGCTCTATATCTCTAGCGAAAGAGGATGAATTTAGAAATGCCAGTAAAATTGGTAAAATTGTTCAAAATCTCTAGGTGAAAATATGTAAAATAAAGACCATTCACAGTTAAAAATACTAATAATTGTGATTAGTATTATATGACTAAGTTACTCTAAAGTAGTGGGTGAGGATGTACTACACAACTCCAAGAAAGTTACCTTCCACAGGGGCAATCTACCTTAATAAAATTTGAAAGTAATAACTGTTAGAACTTTCCAAATTTATGTAGATGTGTGCTATATATGCTAGTAGTAGGGCTGGGGTGGACACACAGGTCTCGTTTTTCCTGACAAAAGGAGAAAGTCCCTTGCATTTTCACAGGTCGAGTCCTCAGAGCGAGTGACAGCTTTATGACCTCATTTCCCATTGTGACAGAGTGTGGTCTGGTGGAGACCCAGCAGACTGTGAACAAAGTTGGACATGACCGTGCTACAAAAACCTCCGGCCTTTCTGAAGTTTCCGAGGTGCCAGTCAAGCAGGGAAAGGTAAACACCATGCCAATAAATCCCTTTTGTGTTACAGGCAGAGTTCTGCCACTTGAACAAGAATAAAATATTAGATCCACTGGTCTATTTGATGCTGCATCTGTGAACAGGAAGCATGTGTCTTATGTTATTATACCAGGAAAATGCTTCATGCCCAAAGGAGTCTGAATGCTAGCTTTGTACCACATTCAGAAATGTTAATCAGGAGAGTATTGTTGCTAAATTTGCTGCTGCTCCACAAACCCCTATGTTTAGCAAGGGTAAGACAGAAAAGACAGCTACCTGAGTCTTCTTTTCAGAGTCAAGCGCAGCCAGCCCTGGTATCTCTTGATTGTCTTGCAAATTCTTGCTGCATTTAAAGGAACAGATAACACTAGTGAGTAGCACATGAAGATAGGATATGCTTTAAATACCAGTAAGAGTGAGACTGTACTCCCAGACCAAAAGGTGCTCCCACTTCTCTAACGCATGCCTTGTTTTTCTACTGTCCAGAGAAGTAGATGAGAAGCAAGTCCTAGGTGGCATTTACAAAATGAAATCATATGTATGGGTTACGTCATCAAAGGGAGCTCCGTACAAATGAAGCACATAGGGGAAATGATTCAGAGCGGAAAAGGATTTCAAAGTAAGGTGCCTTTCAGGGGAAAACCAATTAAGAATGCCATGTGTCAAACTGTATGAAAGTGGAAAATCCTGCTCAAAGGTACATTTGATGCCTGTCCCAGGACACACAGTGGCTACAAGAAAAAACAGAATTTTAAAAGTGTAAATTCCATAGTGGTAGAGTTATAAACTTGTACTAAAAAGTCATCTACCTGTCAAAAGCACAAAATACTGCTTCCCCATACTCTCTTGGGAAGCCTAGTAGTTTATTTATATAGGGAAACTTAGGTGAATTAATCATCTGTGAATTATTCATTAAAAAAAACCTTAAATATTGTATAGAAAAGGTTTTTATTCCTGTTTGTGATTTCTGCTTCCTAAATATACTTAAGGACTGTGTGATAGTAACTTTTAGATATGCGAATCTATATAGATAATTGTAAAACCCTTGTTTTGTCTAAAATTTCAAAAGGAAAAAAATGCTATATGCAAGAATGTGTCCAAGAAGCTCCAAAATCCAAACTTCACGTGGGATGGATATTGTGCAATACTGTGTTGGTGAGGAATGTTGGAAAATAAAGCTGTTTGATCTAGATCATTTTGATAGTAGATTTTAGTAAAAGGAAATACACACACTTCTTTCTTGACAGCACACTGTTGAAAACTTTTTGGAAAAAAGGACAACTTTATAGGTTCTGTAATTTTCTCACCATCTTTCACAGTGTTAGGTCTTCAATAAACATTTGCATAGCAAATGAGTCAGTTATATAATGTAAACTACACTTACAAAAGTCAAATATAGTGACAAATCACATTGAGTAATTAACTTTGATTTTATTATTAGTAGGAATTAGAATACCTCTACTTGGCTAATGTTTTTTACTTGGACAAAGTAAAATTAACCTTGTAGGCTCCAATTTCTCTAAAAGAAGACATATTTGGAGAGATGGTGTTTTTAAAACTATAAAAGCACAGTCAACATATTTAAGATTTTTTCCTTGATTAGGTTTAGAATGGTTTGACAAATGTCTAATTTCTTTTATAAAAAAGCCAGTGAATGGAAAAACTAACTTCACAGTTTTGTTGCACTGGGTTTTGAATGATTCAGTAAAGTGACAGACAAATTTACAGGAAGATAATCTTGTAGCTAGTATTGGGGTCTGTTTTTACCCAAGCTAAGAATTATACAGAATTTAGGCAGCTGTTATTACTCACCAGTGAGAATCAGATCACTCAGGGTGTGCACCCTGAGTCAGAATTCCGCCGAAGTGCATTGAGAAAGCGCTTGGCTGGAGGAGTGTTTGTCTCTTTGGTAGCTGAACCATGGAATCCTCGTACAAATGTGCGTCCAACAATTCAGAAATCAAACATTTCTCTGAATAGTAACGTTAAGTGAGGGATGTAGCTTCTTATAGTCTGAGGAGGTCAAATGTGTGACTGAGGCTTATCTTATTTCATAACTTGGCCTAGAATGGAAGAATAACCCTTCCACGGGCTATTTAGAAATCCATACAGGGAAGATTGCTTTTTTCTTTTTAACATTTGTATGTCTATATACACAGTATTTGAGTCTATGCATATGAATAAAAGAAAAAAGTGCCACTTGGAATTAGTTAATTTGCAAGATTGCCTGGAAATCAATGCAATTTATTTAAGAATTCACATATGAATAAGCATTTTGGTATGTCTTTCCTATTAATATATGCAATAACAATTTAATATTCTACTGAAATTTTTGTGTTTCATTTCTATTACTAGTTCTGGGAGTCACTTTATAGATTTCCTGCCTCAAGTCTGCAGAATTGCAAAGAGAATTTAGACAAAGTTTATTAACTAGAATAGGAAAGTAATTTATCCTGGGATATACATTCCCTGTTTGGGTTTACTTTAACCCTCCTTAACTGTCACATTTAAGACGCTGTCCTCAGATTTCTGCTGTTCTCATTATGTGTTTCACTGGCTTCCTTCTCAATGGTCTGATAACTAAAATTCATTTTAATCGTACAATCTTTTTTAAAGTTGAAACACATATCTGCCTTTTGAGTGTTTAAAAACTTCCTAGTGTATCACATTAGAATTTTCCTTATCTCCATACTAACACTTTTGTGTCTTTTCTCCAAGACAGTCTTCACAGCCTTTCCAATCAAGCTACCTATGGTTCTCCAACTCTCTATTAAGGATTAGGCTACAAGAGCCTATGTGTTTATAAGTAAAATACAAATAAAATGTATTTTATCATTAACATCTTCCTGAGTGTCTTAATTATTTTTCTCTTGGATGAGACAGAATACCTGACACCCAAAGCTAAAGGAGGGAAGCTTTACTTAGCTCACAGTCTGTGGAGGTTTCAGTCCATAATTGTCAGGCTCCAAGGCAGGGTGGCACATGGCAGAGGGGTAATCATTCATGGCGGTGAAGACAGCAAAAGCAGTGAGAGAGAGAAAGAGAGAGAGGTGGGGAAGGTAGGATAAGCCTCTTTCTGTCCCTTATAGTGTGTGCAGGCTACCCGTCGTAGGGTGGGTGTAGCACTCACACCCTTAATGCCAGCACCCTTAGTGCCAGCATAGTGCTACAAATCAATCCCACATTCTAGATTTAACTGCCTCTAAAAAACCCATCTAAAGCTGCATGACACTTTGGGGGGACATCTAGGCACAAACCATAACACTAATATACTGAAATTGTTTTTCCTGTAAGATTATATATATACATATAATTATAAATTCAATTTCTGTGACATAAATACATCCAGTTACCACTTATAATCTATGATGTGGATAATTTTAATAGATAAAAAGTGAATCCTTAATGACTTTCCCAGGGACACAGGATAAGAAGGTTATTAAATTATAATTCAAAAGTAGACAGTCTGTTTTGAGAATCTACATTTTTTGCATTTCAAAAGAATGTTGCGATATACTCTTCACAAATATTTTGCCTAAAGGATTATACTTCTAAAGAACAATATAAAAACTCACTTCTCAAAAGTTAAAACTGTGTTAAATAAAAAAAACCAAAGTGGGAACAGAATTTTGAGATATCTTAATAACTAAATTATACAATTTTATTTTAAACCCTCTCAAACAGTACCAGATTCTAATAATGGACTTTTTAAATCATTTATGCCTCCTCTTAAAACTCTTTTTCCACAAAAGCTTAAAGAAAATGTATAGTCAGAAGAGATTAAAAAAAAAATAATACCTGCATTAACAGTACAAAGAAAAATAAGGAATTTCAACTAGTCCATCTCAAGATAAGATTAAGATGAACTACTGTGATGAACTAGGTGCCTGTTAGAATTTCTGAGAATTCAAACTAGGATAAAAGAAGCCCAGCGAACAGGTACCTGGGGGAGGCAGGGGCTCAGGACAGCCTTGGCGTTGGGAATGACCTTATCTATCTTTGTGTACCACTCTCCTCGGCGTGAATTTGTTATAAAAACCATGGAACCACAAATATGAGAGATGTGCAGAGTCCAACCTAATGACATTTAATGTCTTCAAAATGTGTGGCCTGTCAGAGAGAGAAAAGGTAAAAAGAAAAACCGAATAGGAAATTCTGCCTGCCCCAGTCAAGTCCTACACCTAACAGGCTCCGAAAGAACGACAGACGTGTGTGAAGAGGCAGTGGATGGAACTAAACATTGTTTTAGAGGCAGGAAGGCGCTCACATGAATTAGGGTAGCCAGAGGCGCGCAGCGTTCAGCAGGCAGTAGGACCCTGACTTGCGCTGCTGTGTCCGTGCAGCTGCCGAGTTGAAGTGTGGAAGGAGCAAGGAGTACCGGGCCATGAAGCAAGGATACGGTTAAGGGGGTGATGCTCGGAAACTCCACGATTCACAGAGCCCCTGCTGCTGCAGAGCATGAGAGGAGGCTCTCTCTCTTGCTGAATACCTCACCTTGACTCAAATCTCCAACATGTGCATTAGGTGAGTGGCCTGTGTATGGCCATTTCTTTTGTAGGTCTTTATTACCACACAAATTTAGAAAGGTATCTATTAAAAAGGAGATTCAAGTCACAGTTTAAAAGGCCCTTCTGTGACTTGTGCAATAATGCTATTTAATGTGGTGAATCGTTGTAAAGATTTAACACACTAGGGCTGCTAGCCCCAAGTTTAAAATACATTAAGAAGGGGAATACAGAACTTGATAGTACATTAAAAGATTGTACACTTACTAACCTCATACATATAGCAAAAAGGGTCTAATAACTTTAATATATATATGTTTCATTGGGCATTTTAATAGAAATAACTAAAATATTTAACAAAATTTTGTTTGTTTTTTGTTGTTTTTGTTTTTGTTTTTCTTCCAGTACCAGGAATTGAACTCAAGACCCTGCACTTACCAGGCAGGGGCTTTGCTGTTGAGCTAAATCTCCAGCCCCACAAAATCTTATTTGTTTTAGCATAAACTATAACTCAGAAGTAAAAAGATATAAAGATAATAGAAATTTGATCAATCACTAATTAAAAGGGCTACTGAAAATGATTTTGTTGGTCCTATTGATAAGGTGTAAAAGAAATTTAAAGTGGGATTTAAAGATTTAGAAAAACTATAAATTTGAATTTGTATTTTTAAGGAGTTGAATGTTAGTTTTCAAAACTCCCTATTAGCTGTCAGTTTATCAAAACCACAGAACACATGAGCATTGTACCCGCACATCAGCTTTCATTGTTCAAAAGGAAAAGAGAGCAAGTCAGACATAAGATACTGAGAGTGTCCTTTTAAACAATAGTTTATTTTAAACAGAGTTAGCTGATTTTATTTAACAGAGTTTTTCAGGCAGATATGTACATGCAGAGAACTGTATAATAGACACAGGGAGAAAGTCCTCAACAGCAATTTGAAAAAACATGAGGAAACGATTCTCATTTTTTCCAACACATCATAAAGAAGTCATTAATATTATGTGAAGGAGCTTAAATAACAAAAATATTCCCTTCTAGTGACTACAGAAAATCTAAAATCATACAAAGTTGGAATTTCTCCGCCCTATAATCTACCTGGACCTTCCGATGGAGTTAGCAAGTAATTTAATACTGAAATCTCTAGCTTTTGTTCAGTGTGGGAGAAGTCTGGACTTGCAGTAAAGTTGACAATTTCAGCAAAAATTGAAGAGCTGAAGGAATTATTGCCTCCTTTTAGTGCTAGTTAATTTTTCATGTATGCAAACTGTGGGCTTTTTGCTATGGTAAGTTAGTATATTTTGTTGCCATTGAATTAGTTTTGTATCTCTTCAGATTATAAGATTTTAAGCCCTAATATTTTCCAATAAAATTCTGCGAATGTTTAGACTCGTCTTTGTGTGTTACAAAATACTTTAGTAAATTTTATGTAAAAGTTTTTACTTTTGACATATTTCGCTTTCAAAGAAAAGCTACTCTTTCCCCGGGTAAATAAATTGTTGGACATATTGAGTTTAGTTATTTGGCATATTCCATCTGGAAAGACCATCTTCAAGAATATATAGTTTTTGTTTTGGGCATAATTCATAAGGAGTAGTTTTAATTTATTTGCAGACATTAATTGAATAATAGCTTCTACATCATGCCCTGGGCCATGTATGACACTGGAACCACGGCATCCACACGGAAGGAAATGATCATCTTACTAGTCTCTGTCTCAGTAATTTTCTTCCACACTGCTTGATGAAAACTTGTTAAGTGCCGGACCAGGAGTTTGTTAAGTGCTGTAATAGAGATAGAGCTAGTTAAGAAAGGAGAAGGAGGGGGCTGGGGATTTAGCTCAGCGGCAAAAAGCGCCTGCCTGGCAAGCGCAAGGTCGTGAGTTCGGTTCCCAGTACCGGAGAAAAACCAAAAAAAAAAACCAAAAAAAAAGAAAGGAGAAGGAAATCTAGTCCTTCTTAAACTACTTCCCAATGATTAGTTGAGAGAAGAGAAAGCAAAAATAACATTTGTCCCCCAGGCTCAGACCTCAGATAAGAGAAATAAAGTGTGGGGAAGCAATAAAAGGAGAGCTTCCACAGTCATCTCTTTTGGAGTAGACCACCTTCTCAGCAGTCTCAAACCTTCCTTGGGAAGCTACATCCAAGTGAATTCAGTGGAATTTTATTGTGAAGCTGAAAGAAGACTGGAGCTGTCTGCAGGAAAAGCAATAGTGCAAATGGGCTTAAGCCCCTGGGGAGGGCCACAAGCCACGCTCTCTGTTCGGAGTCTGCACAAATGTGTACCACAGGTCACAATGGATTGTGGGCTGCAGTGGAGCTGTGAGCAACAAATTCCTGCAGAAAATTCTGGAACAAGGGCTTATCATTCCTCAGCTCAACTGTCCACCAGTTGCTGCATGGTAAATACCATCAGGCTGTTACCACACGCTATAAATACCGAGGGCTGCCACATGGATCCCAGAAGTCCATGT